GTCTGTGCCTGGAATATAGCATACCACTATTTAGATGTATTTGTTCCTTTGTTCCTATATGTTGTAAAGGTATAGCTACCTCATCCTCCCATAGATGCCATGTTATTGATAATAATTGTATTTTGCATGTGAACATATGGGCCGTAAGGCCTAAAGTATTAAAATAATTTGAATTTAATCTGACAACAATCGATTTCAAAGGAAAAGCTTCGTAAATGGAACTCATCTAAATTGACACAAGTTAAGGAGAGTTAATACCAATTTACACAAAATAGTCCCATCTCACGGTGGAATGAATTAAATGAAAGTTTGTAGTTTTAAATACGCAAAATAACGAATATATTGAGATATTAAATTTAATTCAAATTTAGCACAATATGGACTGAGGTCACAATTAAATGCTTCCTGGTTCAGTACCCACGAATTAAGTCCCTTAGAAATAAAGGTACTTTAGTAAAAACTATACTATGCCTCTTAGAACTTGGTGTTTGTGTAAAACTTTGGTGCTAAAATACTGTGGAGATATCAATCTAACAATTTCTGTGTCAAATTTTTGTATTGTGCATTTATTTTTTGGTGCAGGATGCTGCGTGAAAAGTCCTGTGTTTACCTCTACCCCTGACCCGGATGTTTATTTTTGACATTGGTGACACATGCAGACGATTATCTCAAGAAAAAGGCCAACATGCTATGTTGAAATTTGATATTTTATTCCCAAGATGTTGCTCTTGACCAGGTTAGATGGAAAGTTGGCTATCGGATATTGGGAGTTTGTTATGAAATTAAATGTTACAATGAAACATATAGTAAAATTAATTGTGGTCTTAGTCTTATATAGTGTGTATCGTTCAACGGGAGGTAACTCCTAATTTTGGATAGAATTTGTTAGATCAAGCGATTGGAGTCTGACATCTGCTTGATCACAATGAGGACCAGGGACGTATACACCTATATACTGTCCCTGTGAGGACTTATGATTAAAGTTTTGGTGCATTGTTATTCAAAAATATAACCTTCAGTTTTTGTACTAGGATTGTGATATTTGGCAAAAAGCATACTGGGACGTGTATCAAGTTTATTCGAATGAATAAAATCGACACAATATCAAGGTCATGCATTAATATAGAGGTCAATTATGTTAAAACCGTTTAAAAAACATTCCTGAATACCCAAGAGGATGAAAAAGTTTGGCCAATAGCAACTAAGATGAGGGGTTATCTAAGAAGTTCAAACGAACGGCAGTGAACCACTTTCAATTTCACATGGAGTCTTAGATTTTTCTCATATTGTTAAACAACTGCTTCTAACTGTTTCAAGATTCTATTACATTGCCCAGAAGTCAAATGTAAATGAACAAAGCCAAGTGTTATCCTTGTAAACTCATCAAAACATACAAATTAAAGTAAAATCAGTAGTGATATGGCCACTATAACTGAATATGAACATGTTCAACTAAATTTCCTAATTTAACATATGCTTCTTCAGTATATCTCAACTACATTCCTGTATGTGATATTCTATTTTGTAAAATTATGCTGCATGTATTGTAGCTACTATAATTATAGTTTGTACAAAAACAATTTACCAAAGTTAAAACAAAATTTCTTACTTATTAATTTGTATTTTATTTCTTTACTTTTGTGGGAAAAGATAGCTGGGGGTTTTGGCCGTGAAAAACGACGTAAAAAAATCTCTCTTATTTAAACCTGAAATTCCTTAAAATATAAATGTGATTTTTAGAACTTTTGTTGTGTAGTGACAGCTATATTCCAAACCAGGCGTTTGTGTGTCTATATTTAGTAACAAGAAAATTAGACCAGATTGGTGTGGTTTTAGTTCAACCGACCACTATTGTTAACCGTGAACTATTGTTTGCTTACCTCTCGCACACGTGTGTATAGATCTAGGTCAGGACTAGAGATTCGATTCGGTTGATTGACCCTCCGCTATTTTTCACCTCACACACCTGTATTGGGTTCTTACAGGTCAGTATACTGGACCAGGACAGGAGTGACAACAGGTAAATACTCTCCGTTTTATACAATTTTGTAGTATACCCTTTTATCTATATTTTGCTGGTTCTGATTGTTGATACGTTGATGTCTATGCAAAGTCATGTATCAGTATTACCCACCACGTATCAATACATTTTATTATAATTTACTTGGCTTGTGCAAATCAATATACAATCTGTATATTGAAACTTTTTAGGTATACTCTAAAATATTCTATTATTTTACACTTTAAGTATCGTGTATATATGTACCAAATACTTAGTATATATGTTACACATTACTTTGTAATATTCATCTTTGGAGGCAATAAAGAGAATAATAATAATGTTTTACGCAAAATTGTATTTTTTTGTCTCTTGATGGTAATTCAATTAATGTCTCTGTGTTGTCTCTACCAACGTTTTAGTATATGTTTAGTACGGATCCATTAGTATCGTGTCTAGATATGTATCCGACGTTTTAGTATATGTTTAGTACGGNTCTGTCGTTTCTAGATATGTATCCGGTGTTTTAGTATAGGTTTAGTACGGATCCATTACTGTCGTGTCTAGATATGTATCCGATGTTTTAGTATATGTTTAGTACGGATCCATTACTGTCGTATATAGATATGTATCCGATGTTTTAGTATATGTTTAGTACGGATCCATTACTGTAGTAGGCTGGCTGTCGTGTCTGAACTCGATGGTTTGTTTAGTGCTTATTGTCCTCTTTTCTCCATGTTTTAGAATTTTCGTCGTCTGTGTCCGTGAAGGTTTATTACTAGCGCCATGTCTACTTATTTTTGTCGTGTTATCGTAAGAGCGACTTCCCGAATTGTAATGACCTGCGGGTAACAAACGCTAGTACTACTAGTCGAAATGACCACAACTGACCACCATGTATTGGCTGTGGCGTACTGGTCAATACGTAGTAATGTCCACCACTTGGTAGGTGTACATTAACATGCACATACCAAAGTGTAGGTATAATGATGAGTAACATCTTAAACATCATACCTCAGAATTGATACGCTATATTCTACCCATAGTCAAGCATTTCACTGCTTCAGTGAGCATTCAATTTCCCTTTTTCCATTTTCTGGTGAGCTTTCCACATGGATACATATAATCCCTTTCTTGATCCCAATCCAACGATTAAGATGCCAATATAACGTAAACGTATATACATATTATGGAAGCATTATGCATCAGAATAGTGAATACATGGACACTAGTCTAGTTTTGGGCACCTAAAGTTATAGCACGGAATTAGATTAGATGTTATCTAAGTCCGTGGTTATAGTCTGGTCCTATAGGGTGGGAGGGAGTGGGATACTATAGGGTGGGGGGATACTATAGGGTG